AGCCCGATTGGTCGTTGTGAATCCAATTACTTAATTTTTTTCCAGTCTGACTGCCAATATATTTGTTAGGATTTTATAGTCACTGTTCAGTAGTGAGATAGGCCTGTAGTTTTTTGTTTCCAACTGGTCTTTGTTCTCTTTAGGAATCAATATTACATTTGCCATTGTCCACGATTTAGGGAATTTGTCATTTAATATATTGTTGAAAGCTATCTGTAAAGGAGCCATCAGTTGTTCTTTAAATGTTTTATAAAACTCGGCACTGAGGCCATCTGGTCCCGGTGCTTTTCCTGATTTATTTCTTTTTATAGCTTCTATAATTTCTTTGCTCGTTATCAGTTTTTCCAAGGTTTCTTGTTCTTGATCTGTGATTTTGTTTATTAATTGCTCATCCAGATATTTATTTATCTTGTCTTCTTTAATCTCTCTTTTTTTTTTGCCAAATTAGAAAAATAACCAAAAAATATGTCTTTTATTATTTTTGGGTCAGTCACTATCTCATCTTCTCTTTTCATTTGATTAATATACTTTTTCCCCCTTTTCTTTTCTTAACTTATACACTAAATATTTACCAGGTTTATTTGCATGCTCAAATTTTTTTTGTCTAATAAATCTTAATTTTTCCTCCATTTCTTCCATTGTTATTATAGAAATTTGTTTCTGTAAGGTTTTTATTTCTTTTTGTTTTTCTTTATCTTTAGGATTTATTTTCAAGAGGTTTTCTCTTTCTTTAATTTCCATTTCTACTTTTTTATACTCTCTCCTTTTTTCCCCCTCCACTCAAAGGTTTTTTTTAAAATAAAAGCTTTGGAAGCATCCCAAACAATGTGGTTCTGTTCCTTTATTTAAGTTGTCTATGAAAAAGTAATTTAATTTTTTTTGCTTCTTCTACAATTTTTCCATTTCTCAATAAGTGCTCATTGAGTTGCCATATATGTGATTTTTTACCTTTGCTGATTATCATTAATACTGGACTATGATCCAACCATACCATAGGCTGAATCTCTATTTTTTTCCTACCCATTTTAGTATTTGTGATGAGGCAAAGATCATATTGAGTCTTGCCCATGATTTATGTACATCAGAAAAAAGGTAGTCTTTCACCATATTTTTCTCTCCACACATCTTTCAAACCAAGCCTGTCAATCAATTCAAAGAAACTGTCCGGTATTTTGCCCTGATTTTCCTTAATTTTTTTAATGAAGATCTATCAATTTTAGAATTAATTACCCAATTTCAATCTCCCATAGTTATTATTGTATCATAATTTGCATCCTCTAATTTATCTAAAATTTCTTAGTAAAATTTCTTTTTTGATCAGAGGGTGCATAAATTCCCACAAGAAGAATTTTACCTATTGCACAAATTATTTCCACTGCCACATATCTAAGAAAGACATTTTTAAAGATTGATTTTCACTGCTCAGATCTGCACAACTGTGAATAAACATAACAAAAATTGAATTCCTTTATAGCTGTGAAGGTGTGCATTCAGTTACAGACTTTATTTTCAAATCAGCCTTTAACAGCAGCAAGGCCTAGCATCCTACTTCTCCTGCAAATGCTAACCTGCAGGATATGGCCTTTGACTGTGTCATAAACAGAACAGATAACACACTATGTTAAAATTTGTCCCCCAAATTCCAAGCGTGTTTCAAAAAGTCCTGGAATGGTGGTGCCCTCAAAATGGAGTGGATTCTGTGGTAGATACTGCCTTACTGGCAATGTTGAATCTTGCTTTTATTGATAGATCACAAACTCTCTCCAAATAAAGATCAAGACATTCATCTTTTGACTCATCAGATTATGTTGTATTATAAGATCTGAAAACTGTGAATCAGGATTCTTTTTGATATTCCAAAATATCCAGGCTATGCTTTTTGGCTTATGTACTATCCGAATAATTAATATTCCCATCCAAGGAAAGTTGTTCATGTATGTGCTTAAAACTTTTTAAAACTTGTTTTAATGTGTTAGATAGTTTAATATGTTTTAGACTGTAAATTATCTTTTCCTATGTGACATTTTAAACTGTTTTAAACTATTTGTACTATTTATTGTATGTTCCTCTGAGATCTTTGGATACAGGGACGGATATAAATATTTTAATAAATAATAATAAATTATGTAAGTGGGCCAGCTCTGCAACCATACCATTATCTTTATTGAATCCACAGATGATAGAACTGAATTCCTTAGTAAGTGGTAATTTAGTGGTTTCTCACACGAGTCACCCTGTGAAGCTCAATTGTCCAAGAAGCACAAAATTAGTGTCCAAAGATGCTGTTCTGCTGTTCAGCATCCTCTGTCTTGTGCACAGCCAGAGAGTGTGGTATAGTGGTTTGAGTGCTGGATTTGAACTTCAGGAAAATAGGGCTTGAATCTGCTCAGCCATGGAAATCCATTGTGTGACCTCAAGCAAGACACGCATTCTCAGCCTCAGAGGAGGGCAATGGCAAATATTTGAATAAATCTTGTCAAGAAATTGCAGCAGTAGGATTGCCTTAGGGTTGCCATAGGTTGGAAATGACTTGAAGGCATAATTCTGTGCAACTTCCAGCTTCAGTAGAATTAGGAAAAAGTAACAGCAGCCACTCCATCAGACCTCTAGTGGGATTGTTGCTGGATTCTTCCTTCCACAATTTCTGAAAAGGAGGTTATACCAGCATATACCATCAATAGGATTCCAGCCCAAATCTTCAGGCTCCAAACAGTCTATTTCTCCATTTTTTCCTTCCTTATTTCATGGCAGTACAATTATGCAGGCATTGTGAACCAACAGGATTCTGGGCAGAACCTCTATCATTAAAAGACAGAGTGAAGCTACTCAACTTCTTAAAACTACTGGAAGAGGACAACATTTCTGAAAATGTTTGAAGGAACTGAAGCCAAGCCTGTGGGGAGTGGAACATGGGTTGTGATTCCAAGCTGGTACAAAATGGCATTTCCACTCCTTGAAGTAGTATAGCAGCAATGATTAAAACTGGTATGTCAAAACCATGCAGAATCTTTTGTTCAGTGCACTGGGAGTTCCCAAGAAGCTTTTAATGGGTGTAATCTGGAAGGAGGAGGATCTAAGGGAATGTGTCTTTTCTTTTTAGTACAAACACATTATAGCATTGCCATAGTACTACAGTAAAGTGGATGCGAATTGGTGTGTTTTAAATACAGCCTGGGGTAAAAGAGAAAAAGAACAGAAGAAAATCAACATGCTGCTGTTATTTCTTTGCCTACTTTTGGCATTTTGACCGCATTCATTGGCTGCTTTCTGTCAGTGAATTTCATTAAATGTATTTATGTGCATATAACTTGAAACCATGCCACTTCCCAACTCCGTAGCTCTGTACAGCTTTGAACAGTCTTGCTATAGCAACAGATATATAGTGCCAAGCTGGGTAGAAGGCTGATGGAGAACTCTCCTTAAGTTTGTTCTTTAAGGGAGCACAACAATGTTGCTAAGGAGGTTGGAATATCTCCAGAGTGAATCATTAGTCTCATTCCCACTACATTTCAAACCAGATTGCAAACCAGTTTGAAGCAGTTTAAATGATCTTGGCTCGCATTTAAACCAAATCGCTGACATGGTTTGGAGAGGGGGGGCATGTGCTAGGCCCATTTAATGCACATCTTTTTGATGCTGTTTTTTTCTGTGTGTTTTTCAATAAATTGATTCCACACAAGTGTGAACCAGATGCAGATCAGAATCAATTTAAATTTGCCCTTTGACTGGCTGAAGCGAGTCCATCTTGAATTGATTGATTCATCAATGTGAACCACAAGTGAGTTATTTTACAGCAAGAAAATGTGATCAGGGCAAATGTAGTATGAACCATGCTCTGCTGTCGAACCAATCCACCAATTCAGATCACAAATTGATTCATTTGTAAATGGGAATCAGGCCATCCTTTGGAGGTGAAACTGCCCCTGATCTTGCCATCTTAACTCAACTTGATCAAAGGATTCAGGAATGTTTGTGACAAAGCAATTTGAACTAAGTGGGGATGCATCTATAAACATTTTCTTTGTTTCTAGGTTCTCTTTGTGCTCTGTGTGTGAATTTATAACCAACTGCAGAATTCCCAAGTGAGTGTGTGATGTTCTATTTGAAAGCTACTGTTGCCCTCCACACATTTTTTTAAAAAAACAAGCCAAAATGATAGTCAATCACCTTTCATGTTATTTGAGGTATGAGTTTGTAAGAAAATCCAGCATCCTTTCCTATGTTGTGAACACTCATTTCATGCCGATTTAGTACCACTGAAATAAATGGAATATAATAAATAAGCCTGTGTAGTATACTAATTATAATGTCTGAATAACACTGTGGAGACTCAAGTTCAAATCCATGCTCAGCACAGAACTTGGAAATCATATTTTTTTTTGTTTGGACTAGAACTCCTCCAGTCTTCGAGCCACAAAGCTCCCTGCATTACATTGAACCAGTATATCATGTTTGTCCCTTGGAAGACAGCCATGATTTTCATAACTTTAGGATCAAAGTAAAGATTAAGAGGAATGTGTATTCCCAATAAACTTGTTTCCTTACCAGTAAGAGAATTTCCTCAGATATCCATATCTCAGCAGAGTTTCAAATAAAGTCTGCTTTGACCAATTAAAAAAAGAAGCTAAATACAAGATACTATATATGTTGTTGTTGTTGTTTGCTTTGAAGTTGTTTCCAAGTTGTGGTGACCCTAAGGTGACCCTGAGAGTCAGCATGGTTTTAACTGCTTGACCATGGAAATCCACTGAGTGACCTTGGAAAAGTCATTCTCTCTCAGCCTCAGAAGAAGGCAAATGCAAATACAAACCCCCTCTGAACAAAACTTGCAAAGAAAACCCTGTGATAGGTTCACCTTAGGTTGCCATAAGTTGAAAATGACTTGAAGGCACACAACAACAAAAGTTTTCATGGCAACATTTGTTCAGGGAGGGTTTGCCTTTGCCCTTCTCTGATGCTAGAAGAGTGTGATTTGCCCAAGATCACCCAATGGGTCTCTATGACTGAGTAGGGAGTTGAGCCCCAGTCTCCAGAATCATAGTCCAACACTCAAACCACTATACCACACTGGCTCTGTAAGATACATAGGTGAGGAAAATAACATACTATAATACACAACTTTTTTGAACCACTTGGAATCTTCTTCTAAAATGTGCTAGGCATATCATCTTGTTTGAGCATTAAGACAAAATTAATTTATTCAATTAATAACAGGAAATCTCTTTAGAAGGAAATACCACCTTTCTGTTCAGTAGGTTTTTCTACTCACAAAATGCATTTAAATAAAAACAAACCTGTAAGAGGTAGAATATCCCTACTTTCTTTACTTAAGAAAATAATATAATATTTGATAAAAAGGTATGGAATGAAAGCACAGGACATAGACAAAATGCAACAGTGCTAATAAGAAAAAACACATTTCAAAGGCTTCTGAAAATTCTTAAGAGCACGTCTTTTATCAAATATATTATCCAAGTAATGGTTTTTGCTCCAAGTGAAGATGATTACACCCTGATACTTCCACAATATTTATGAGGTATATACTGGACCTGAATGTGATAATCATCATCAACAACAAAAAGGAATGTAAAACCAGCCTTCTTTAAAAATGACCTATTAATTTTATCAAAAGTCCAAGTGATGACATGGGGATGATACACATCTCTTTTAGGTCAGAATTTTTGTTTATTTGTAGATCAAGTTGAGTTCCTCTTCACTTACTTTCAGTGTCAGGGTCTTCCATTGAACCTAGCAGGAACCAGGGATGTCATGGTTGTGGGCCAGGACCTGATGTCTGTGGACTGTGGTGGAAACTTCATGTCACAAATCATTGCTTTCCCTTTACCACTGAGTTTGCATGCTAGAGACATGGGAGACATAAGACAGTCAGGAGGGCTCTAATCACATGAAAGTCTGAAACTCATTAACTCTATTCAGGAAGTAGGATTAATGAGTTTTTAAAAGTTTTCTTTTCTTTTGACTTTGTTTTGGGGACAAGGTTCCCCAAAGTTGACCAAAAATTCAACCAGTTTCTGTTACATTATGAGCATCTCTCTTCTGGACTCTTCTCCAATTCTTGCCTTCTTTGTTGCAGGTTCCTTATCTGCTATATTCAATACTAGGAGTGTAATTGTGGGTTTATGGAATTGTGTGACAAGAAGTCCCATGAGACAATCCTATGTCTGAAGACTATTTCACCTCAAACCTTTTCTGGGTGCAGAGTATCCTTTTCTCAAAACTAGAAGTTTGTGAAAGAAAATGTGTGGATGTAGCCCATGGGGGGGAGGGGGTTCCAGGCGGATATGAAAATGGGAAGAGGGTGGCTGCCCACCCTATTCTATACCCTATACCCTCCAATATTTCATAAATGAAAATTGGGAACTCATGTGGTCAAAAAACATCACAGTGTGGCCAAAAGTCATTAATGAAGAAGAACCCAATAGCTAGGAGAAGCAGCAGCAGTTTGCTTTTACCTTAGTCTATAAAGAAAGAGAAGATTTTGTCCCCTCCTATCTTCTCCTAACTGAGTTGACTGAGTGCAAACTACCCATATTTATAAGATGACTGG